AATGGCCCCTACAGTCACCAGATCTCAACCCAATAGAGCATCTTTGGGATGTGGTGGAACGGGAGCTTCGTGCCCTGGATGTGCATCCCACAAATCTCCATCAACTGCAAGATGCTATCCATCAATATGGGCCAACATTTCTAAAGAATGCTTTCAGCACCTTGTTGAATCAATGCCACGTAGAATTAAGGCAGTTCTGAAGGCGAAAGAGGGTCAAACACAGTATTAGTCTGGTGTTCCTAATAATCCTTTAGGTGAGTGTATGTTCAGAGGGAAGCAGCGTGTTTGCGTTGGTGGACTACAAGGTTACTATGTTGAGTAAAAGCTTTCCCACACTGATCACACCAGTAAGGTTTTTCTCCAGTGTGAACACGTCGGTGCATTTCTAGGTTACCTGATAAAGCGAAAGCTTTTCCACACTGCCCACACCTGTATGGTTTCTCACCAGTGTGAACACGACAGTGGTCCTTCAGGTGACTTGCTGTAGAGAAACTTTTCCCACATTGGTCACAGCTGAACGGTTTCTCTCCAGAGTGAACGCGACGGTGCCTTCTTAATTCAACGGATGTCGTGAGACCTTTTCCACATATGTCACACCTGTACGGTTTCTCTCCGGTGTGAACGCGACGGTGGACTTTCAGGTTACTTGGTGCAGTGAAAGATTTCCCACATTGGTCACACCAGTACGGCCTCTCTCCAGTGTGAAGACGACGGTGAACATCTAGGTTAGCTGATCTACTGAAAGCTTTCCCACAGTGATCACAGCTGTACGGTTTCTCTCCAGTGTGAACGCGTAGATGCACTTCTAGGTTAACTAATTGAGCGAAAGCTTTCCCACAGTGGTCACAGGTGTAAGGTTTTTCTCCAGTGTGAATTCTCAGATGACTCTTTAAATTTCCAGATGATTTGAAGGATTTGTCACAGAAGTGACAGCAGTGACGTTTGAGTCCCTCTCTTTGTTTCTAAAGCAACAGACAGACATACAGAAAGACAGTAAGTGAGAATTCACAGTGGGGTCTGGGGCAGCACAGAATTTCATTTGTGACCTTTTCTGGTTAAACAAAAATTATCTTACTCTTTAAAAACAAAACAAATATCCATCTCAACCGGGATCTTTTCCATAATGTTTTCAAACACTTAGAGTATAAAAATCTGAGCCCGTCAGTGGTGAAAACTTCAAACATGCTCGCTTAATAATGAACCAACGCATTACTAAAAAGAAATCGGTCACTAAAAAGAATCATTTGTACAAAGGTTTAAAGGAATTTGTTACTCTGAAAGCAGTAACAACAATTATTAGATTCTAGTCTCCAAGCCACCAAGTGTTTACACCGCCGAACTACAGCCGATTTATTATTGAGAATTACTACCTTTTCTAGCATTTACTGTACTGGTTCAGCGGCCCAGGAAACTCACAGAGTGTTCCAATCATCCAATCAGAGATTTTACATTTTAATCAAGAATGAACAGATTCTTATTAGAGCCTGTCCGATGTGGGTTTTTGGGGGCCAATGCCGATATTAAAGTGAAAAAGAGCCAATTTATGAGCAGATATTTTGAATTTAAGAATGATTTGGATAGTAGTCTCCTTTACTGTATAAACTACACTTACACTTAACAGGCCGATATTGAAAGCTGGTATGTATGCGTGCAATAAAACCTTTTCCTAAATGGATTATGTTAATAAACTACATTACAGTCTCAAAAAGTGAACATGTAAACAATTGCACATCAATAAATATTTGCTACTGAAAGGTGCAACTTTTTCAGCCGTCTGTAAACAGAGAGATAATAAACATGTGTATTTCACTTTACGCATTATCTGCCATAATTTCAATGTAGCACATTCACATCTAGTTCATCCCTTTACCAGCACTCTTCTAACCAAAGCTACGTGAAACCATTTAACCACCATCGGTATAAATCATGCCGTCTAGGATACAGTGAGCTGCTGTTGAATGCATCTAATATAACATGACTCTACAACGAGGACCTGCAACTTTGAGATTTCATTTAACAAACGTTATAACTACAACCAGAGCTGTTACGTCTCTGACTACAGCAGGGACAAAACTGTTCACTAGAACTGCCACACTGTTAAATAAATCTACAGTTACGTCTGTCAGCAGCTTCCAACACTCAGCTACCGTAACATTAACCTGCTGTGAGCTGCTAGAAAGCCGGGAGAGTGCAGAGAAAAACGGGAGGGTTAGCAAGTCATGAATGTTGGAGAGAAGTGACCGCGTCTGTTCTTATTGCTCCGGTAAACTCTGGTCAGCTGATTGTTTTCTTCTGTGGTTTTTGTGGTGAGACAGTGTTGTTAACAGTGGAGCTGCAGCTGGTCGCCCTCTGGTGAGAAAACTATGCAACACCCATGACATGAGTGAAGGATCTGACTCTAGGTTTCTTTTTTAATAGTCATATATCTGCTGTTATAAACGACTGATGCCAATGAAATGCAATTAGCTCATATCTAAACTCTGATTCTTCCATGTACATTCTTGTCAAGGGCAGTTTAAAACCAAAATATCTCATAGATCTCTAATCCTAGCTGGCAGAACAAGCTAGAGCTCACGTTTCTCATGGAACAAGAGAAAGTGGTTTTGTTGTGTAATTTTTACATTTAACAGACTGGCCTATGTTCATTTTGTTTAAGAGATTCTTCTCCATAGAAGTGCTGTAATCATTACAAGGATATGTTGTTTAACAATCATTAGTAGGATGACAGTCTGACAACTGGTTCGATTAATGTTTTACTATTTTAAGTTTCAAGTACGCAACATTATTCTGTGTGAACTTGTAACCTTTGAATGTCTCTACATGTGAAGTGAAGCTGATGAAGCCACGACAAGTTGTGAGCATGCAAAAACCAAGCTAATGTACGGCAGGTACTGTTGGCTTAGAGTCTAGATAGGATAAGATGATGTTTGTTGATAAAGTTTGTTTGAGATAAAGTGATGTAATGTTTGCTCAGCACCTAAATAATATGGCATAGTGTTTGCTTAAGGATCTGATAACATACAAAATCGTAGTAAAGATGGGTCTGCAGGCCAGATCATGACACGTACTGTCGCAGACACCAAGGCTTTGTGAAAGGTACAACACTGCATACTTGTGTTTGAAATGTCAACCTTGTTATTCTTTTGTTAATCTTTAAAAAATAAAATAAAAAAACAACCCAACAATTGTGTGTGTTTGAGTTTTCATGCTGTCAAAATTATGCATGTATGACTTAAAAAACAAATACGGTAAGACTGAGTTTGAAACCTAATGGTGAATTTCCGATCTAGAGTGTTTTCAATAGTGTTAAAAAGTATAAAAGGCTAAATTATAATAACAAATTATGTTAAAGAACAGCTAAAAGGAAATAACTTTAATGAAACAAGAAGTTAGAGAAAGGGTTAAAATTGTTAAAACAACGGCCACTAGATGACAGCAGTGGATAAGAAATTCACCGTTGGGAAGATCTAACTAGACGTCTTTAAATTTTAATTGAATACCCCTGCTCTACAGTTCGTTTCAGACAGAGGCTGAAATGAAGGCCTACATGAAGAGTCAGTATAAGATAGAAAATACATTTTTGACTTTGAATGATGCAAAATTTAAGTAACTTAATTTAAGTGTTTAAAAAGATAAAATTACAAACGTGTCAAGCTCTTGTAAATAAATTTAACGAGCCTTTCTGTGTTTAGATATCTGCTGTGTGAGTGAAAATCTGTTTTAATGTGTTGCTCAAAAGAGTGGATGTATAATGTTTGGGTGTGTGGAGACATTTTTTATGTATTTAGACTTAATTTAAAATGCTGCTTGCCTAACAATTTTTTACCAGTAGGGTACGTTGGTATGAATGAGTTAATTCTTGAGAGAATTTTAATAGCCTGAACTGACAAGACATCTAATAATCAAGACTGTTCAAGCTAAAAACAGGTAACCAAACAAGATCTTTTGACCAGTTGCGCGATTCTAGCAGTGCGAATGTATTGAGTGGAGGTCGAGCAGCCTGTGACTGATGTTAAACCGGAGTCGTCTCTGTGGAGATTTTTAAAAATGAAATTTTTAAAACGAATATGATCTCCGTCCACAGCAGCGTTTTAGCCGTGTATCAGAGTCGATCTCTTGATTAAAACGGCTGAAAACGGACATCTAGTGACCGTTCACATACACCGAGCATGCACATGCCGGTATAAACACGAAGCAGACGAGCTGGGACTGTTAAAGACTGTAACACAGGAGTTTAAAGCGACTGTGGCAGCAGAAAACTGACTGGGAGCTGTCGCAAAGTAAATGGAGACATGCAGAGTACAAGTGTAAGTTAGATTATAAGTGTTATTTGCATGGTAAAAATATTTTAAAGAGGTGGTATTATGCTCATTTTCAGGTTCAGAATCTTATTTAGGGGTTTACATGGTTTAATAAAAAAAAAAAAAAACACATCTTTTTTGTCATACTGCACATTGCTGCAGCTCCTCTTTTCACCCTGTGTTGAAGGCTTCGTTTTAACTGAAGGGAAGTAAGGCTGGACTACAAACGAGCTGTTTTCAGGCAGATCAGAGCAGTGTTTTTTTGTGGGAGATGGGAACTTTGGGCTTTTTCACTTTGCAAACCTGCTACATGCACACAAAAAAAAAAGTATAACAATATAAGGAGAGGGGAAAAGCCAAAAACCATAATACCACCTCTTAATAAAAACACCAAATCAAAAACTCTGTCAGTAGCATCGTGTTCTGCTTTGCATGACTTAAGACCCAATCAGAGAGCCAAACATTTCTAAAGTCCTATGTTTTTGCCCGTCTGCACTGAAACGCCCTCTGGGGTCGGCAGCGTTTTCAAACATCTTCATTTTTGTGGTTTAGTCTGGAGGAGGAGCAAACGTAGCACATTAAAATGCATTAGTGTGGATGGGGCCTCAGTTAGTGGTGCCCCCCCCACCCTAAGATGGAGGTTTGACAAGTGAACACATTTTTTATGTCGGTTCTGCATCATGCCTGATGATTGAGTGTAGTGTGTGTGAGAGCGGTCACTGGCTTTATTTCCAAACTCGAAGTGAGAAGGCAGATCTGCTGATTTGAAATTTGGCACTTATATCTTTTACAACTGAAAAATGCAATACAGAATAGTTATGGCTCACTTTGAATGTTTAAATGATAAATTATTAATGTGTGATGAAGCAAAATTATGAGGCATCCTAATCTATTCCTCTCACATTCTACTTTATTTTGATTTTAAACTTCCACAAGCTTATGTTGTATCAGCAAATAACTGAAGAGAAAAGTTACTTTTGGTGACTTCAGGACTTTGGAGTTGTTTCCAAAATATAATAGATTCTGCTGCCTTGCACATCTCAATGGTACCAAAGAAAATAGTTTAAAAATATGGTAAGTCACTTAACAGAGAGCACTTTAAGTATATGTTCTTAATTTGGAGTAATACAACTACGGATGAAGTATAGGCCACCGTGTTTGTTGTCAGCTAACATTGTCTTTTTAGTTTCAACCTACTTGCCCTTGGAAGGTGTCTGGGTTGGACCATTTCCAAAGTCAATTGGCCTGTCGTCCCAGTACAGTTTAACTGTTGAGATAAGGCTGCTCAGTAAGCCGATTGTCCATTCATCTAATTCATGCTTATAAAAGTAAATTTGACTGTAACAGTCCGAGTCAGGTAATTATTAACATCATCACGGCAAAGAAATCTTCCTTTAATTAGTCTAACTAACATCAGGTCTAAATTGTTGAATGCGCGTGATTGTTTATTTCCGTTCTGATGAGCTTGTTTCTATAACAAGGCCTGTTATTACTCAAGTTACTAAAAGGTATTGTTATAAATATTGTTCAGTAATCTTGTTTACATCAAGTGTGGCGAGGGATGTGTGCAGAACTGGGTCCTGGGTTTATTTTCAGTCCAGAGGCTCCATCTTGCACCTGGCCCGAGCAGCGCCACGTGTCAGAGTAGTCAGTAGTATACTGCGGGATCATTTTGCTTCAGGTGTTGTGACTTTACAGAGCACCACATTATTGGGTCTCTGTCTAAAATACTGTGCTTTAGATAGTAAACCACCACTGATTTTACAATACAGCATACCTGGTACATCTATTACAACACCGTCGGCTGACCCCTTGATTTTTATATTTCATACATTTCTCTGTTTAGTCTTGACAGCGTTTTTCTCAGCGCTGTTTTTTATTTTATGTATTTCACAATAGTTATTACTCTAGAAATAGAAAGGGAAATAGAAGGAAATCAAACAGTAAAAGTTCTATTTCCTCTTATTTTTTATTTAATCCACCACCTCCCTTCCACACAGAGGTAGTTTGGGTGTTTTTATGGATAGAAAAGAGTAAAACCCCTCAAGCCTTCACTTTTCACCAGCATGTTTGTTCTGCGCGCTCCCGACACAACACGGGCTGCACCGCGCATGCGCCAAGCGGGAAACTCCCGGAACAAAGAAAAGAGAAACGCTCGTGAGTTTTTCTTTCAGCTTCCTCTCTTCAAGATGAAAACAGGAACCACGGAGACACTTTGGAAATCAAACCACGTCAACACAAACCCTGGAGCGGGTTTTCAGGCTCTGATCTCTAACAACAGAATGAACGGATGATACACGGACCCTCGAGACTCTTCCTCGTGTCTTTAGTCTCGTGATGAAGTCATGAACACTGACCTGAACATCGGTGCTATCAGAGCACGAGACTGCTGTTTGGCTCCTGTGGTCCGGGTTCTGGTTCTCCATCGTCCTGCAGGTCTCCGCTGTGACTGGTGGACCGTGTTGTCCTGGACTGAGTCTGGATTCTGGTCTCGGAGCTCTTCAGGCTGAGATACAGGAGAACTGCGGGATCCCGCGGAGTGTTCTCGCGATGTCACGGCGTCTCGCCCCGCCCCTTAGTTACCGTTGCTCAGGCAGCAGATTCACAAAGCAGCTTCTCTGTAGCTGCTGAAGTTGGTTCAGCGCGTCAGACTGCTGTGATGATTTTACTGAAGTCAGCTGTTCTCATCAGGTTTGACTGACTCTGCTTTCTGGTTTCCTTAAATAAAACTTTTAAACTGCAGCTGCTTCAACATACTGACTAGAATGCAGAAATTCACAACACAGACAGTCAAACGCAAAGTCTCGACGTTACAGCTCATGACCGTAGAGCAGCTCCACCAAAACATGGAAAAGGCAAAGCATGGTGCAGTGCATGTTACTAAGTTTCACTGGAATATGACAAGAGCACTGCATAGCCACAGAATAATTAACATGTCTTACCATTGTAGTTGACAAACTATGAAGGAGTTTGCTTTTCTCCACGCCTTATCAATCACATCATCAGAGTCCAGGTTCATTAAGACTTTCTTTCTCCGTCACCAGGGGCGTTTTTAGGATTTTGAAATATTGGGGGCTTAGCCCAGCCCATAAAACTTAATATCTTCGCATAATAATTGACCTCCCCCACCCCAAAGTTAAGTCTGTAAGCAGTAAAGCAACAGTAAACATCCTCTACTTATACAAAACAAACTACAACAACACTATTAACTGTCTCATTTTGATTTTGCTAAACTGTAATGTTATTTGTCTAATTATGATAATATAACAACAAAACTGTGACAGTATGAACAGGGGGGTCTGGTGTTTTTCTGCACCAATTTCTGCCTTTTCTGCATCAATTTATCATGGAAATTATGTAAAAGGGACGCACAAAATTCAGGTGTTGCTGAGGTGGTGAATATTTAAGAACATTTTGATATTTTATGACCTTGTAACTTCCATGACCTTATTTATTTAGGTATAATAAAACAATTCAAAATCTAAAATTGTAAGAGAGTATAATGCAGAGCAGCTCTCAGCTTTCAGATACGTTTCTCTTTCAGATCAACTTTTAATATCATCACTGCTGAATCAACACACAGGCAGGCGTGACTCATTGAGGTAACCTCTTTAAATGCGCATGTGGCACCTTTATACCTCATCAA